GCTGAGACAACTATGGGTGAACAAACCACAAGCATCAGAACCACTCGTGGTACACCTCAAGGGGAACTAACCTCACCCCTGTTGTGGAGCCTGGTAGTTGATGAACTCCTGTCCAGACTGACAAATCAGGGTCTAACTTGTATAGGTTACGCCGATATTGTCATTATTGCCAAAGGCAAGTTTGAGGGCACACTATACGACTTCATACAAAAAGGCCTAAGTACTACCGAATAATGGTGCACATCGGTGGGGCTGAGCATCAACTCGGCAAAAACCACTATTGTACCATTCACACGTAGAAGGAAAATTCAACTTACCAGGGAAATTCACCTAAATGGAGAGGTTGTAAATCAAGCAAACGAAGTCAAATATCTGAGCGTAACACTGGATAGTAAACTTTTATGGAAAAAACACCTAGAAGCCATTGTTAACAAAGCTACTAAAGCCATTATGGTGTGCAGAAACTTGGCGGGTAAAAACTGGGGATGTACACCAAAAATACTGCTGTGGATGTACATTATGATGGTAAAACCCATAATCACATATGGGGCAGCAGTCTGGTATGGCATAGCAGAACAAAGCACTACAAGGCGAGCACTTGATAAATTGCAAAGACTGGCAAGTGTATGTATTACAGGAGCCATGAGAACATGTCGAACAGCAGCGTTGAACGTCATACTTGACCTCACACCTTTGCACTTGTCGGTGAAGGAAGCTGCAGAAAGGGCTATGTTTAGACTAACTAGAAATAAGACCGAGGCTAAGGACATCATCGATCAAGGAGCATGGTCATACCAGACACGGTGTATTCCCATATTCGATCTTCCTAAAGGCGATATAACCAAAGAATACCACTTTGAGAGAAACTTCCTCACAAGGATTGATAATAAAAGCGACTGGGAAAGCGGCAAGATCACCGAATCTCTCAAAGAAAACACCATTAAATGGTACACAGACAGTTCGAAAACCGGCAAAGGATCAGGAGCTGGAGTATTTGGGCCTCGCACCAAATATTTTGAGTCACTGGGTAAATACACCAGTGTCTTTCAGGCGGAAATACACGCCATTGACAGATGTGCTCAAATGATCCTGAAAAGAAACTATCTCAAGCAGTATATTGCAATATTCACCGACAGTCAATCGGCCATAATGGCACTGAGTTCATATGTCATCAGTTCTAAGATAGTACGGGATTGCCTAGGGAAACTAAATGAGGTAGGAAAGAAAAATAAAGTCACTTTACTATGGGTGCCTGGACACACAGGAGTGGAAGGTAACGAAGAAGCCAATACCTTGGCAAATAAAGGATCTGGTTCCCCGTTTTTAGGACTGGAGCCTTTTTGCGGTATAGGTAAAAACAGTTATACAGCGGAGCTTAAGATAATGGAAGACGAACTAAGAGCTCGGCTCTGGGACGACCTTCCGGGACTGAGACACTCTAAGATATTCCTTGGAAACTTCAATCCCAAAAAATCTCAAGCTCTAGTAAATTTAAGTAAAACTACTAAACTAAGAATTCTTACAGGGTTTATGACAGGGCACTGCCACCTTCGAGAACACCGGAGGAAAATGCTACTCGAGAGATCCAGTGAATGCAGGTTTTGCGGGGAGAAAGAAACTCCAGAACCCCTACTAACCGTATGCGAAGCCGTCGCTAGAAGCCGGGCTACACATCTCGGGGAGTATGTAGTTTTAGAAGGAGACATACCATCCTTGACACCGTACCAGTTACTAGCCCTCATCAAGGCCATAGGACTGGACGAGGTACTATGATTTGAGATTCACATCAAATCGGCCTCAGCAGGGGGCACAATAGATCTTAAGGTCCCAGTGCAACAACACCCTAATCTAATCTAATCTACAGCTCTGGTTGTCTTCAAAGACTTTGAAAAACGTTAAAACAAAGTTCATATCTGACAACAATCTTTTAAACCACAATGAATTCTGAATGGCAGCACATGAAGCCACTAATTCTGCTTCAGTACTAGACAATACAACACGGTTTAGTTTCCTGGACACAAGCTACTGTGTCACCAAAAACTTCAATGACATACCTTAAATTTCTAACATTTGAATCTCCTGCACAATCTGAGTCAACGTAACAGCACAATGGCAATTCATTCACCCTCCTTTTATACTTTACACTTACCTTAAAATCCTTTTAATATCTGAGCACTCTCTTTAGACCGAACTTCTTCTAAATTTATATCTTAGAATCTACTAAAATAGTTTACCGTATAACTTATATCTGGCCTTGTTCCTAACATTAAATCATCGAATCAATTCTCTTACAGGTTCATTTCCATTCATGTCATTTTCAGTTTTGGATCTATTGGAGTTCAATATGATCTATAATTTTCAAAAATAAATCTTTTCCCTGTAAATATCTTTGTTGATTTTTTTCCAAAATTCCCTTAACTTAAAAAAATTCTCAATTACCTTTATCTTTGATCTCAAAACTCTACATTAATTTATTTTTGTATTCTTCAATCAATTTTAAATCTGTACTACATAAAATAATGTCATCCACATGAAGTAATAAGTATATTAAATCTTCACCTTATTTCTTGTAATATAGACAGTAATGAGTTTCAGATCTTTGCCTGATTCACATTTAATCTCCTCTGGTGGATAAATGTACATATTTTCCTTTAATTCGCCATTTAAGAATGCAGTTTTCACATCTTGTTGCTTGAAATAAAATTGCAAATGATTTCCTACTGATAATAGTGTTCTTATTATTGTCATTTTCATCACCAGGTGAATAGATTTCGTCATAGTGAAAAGACTCCCTCTGTGCAAAACACTAATCGAGCCTCAAATTTATCTTTCATTTGTTCTTCTAATGGTTTCTTGGTAAACACCCATTTCGTATTCAATATCTCAGCATTCTTAGGAGTTTCAGTTTCTATCCATGTTTTATTCTTTTCAATTGAATCAATTTCTCTTGTCATCGTTTCTATCCATAAGTCCTTATCTCTTCTATCAGTGAAATCTTTGACTATTTTAGGAACATTTTCAATATATGACATTGCATCAGAAGCCATATACATTTTAAAATTGTTATCTTTACTCGGTACTCGTCTATTTCTTGTCTCTCTTTATCTTGTTCATCTTCGTTTTCTTCTATTATTACGTTTTCATCATTAACATTTGGTATAATAATCTTTATTTTTGTCTCTGCTCCTTCATTTATATAATAAAAATTCTGGCGCGAACCCTCTCCATTTTCGGCGGTTCCTTTCAAAAAAGATTTCCGCGATCGTTGAGTTTTTCGTCCATTTTTCGCCGTTTACCGATTGATCGTGTGTTTAAGCCTTTCAGGGGCGCTCCAAAGTTACAAGACCACAGAAGCCATTGGGTACGCCACAAACAACCTTTTTGCATGACCTCACTTTTATTTTTAATTTTCAAGGACGCAATATTCGCTATACAGTCTACTAATAATTCCACCAGATTATTTGCATCCTCACAAAGCAAGAGATTACCATAAATTAAACTAAATCTTATTTTCATCCATATTTTACTTTGGATGGGAATTTCTTGGATTTTTCCCTAAGAAACCTTTTTCTTTATCTGCTCTCTACTCTTTCGACCACATTTGTAATGATTTTAGAGACACTACACATCAAAGCGAAACATTTTCCGGATGGCAAATTCCAATGTCCGTGTCAGATCCACACTTTTTTAATTAAAACTTTTTCATTCGATATTTGTATTGATGGCTCCGGCGGACCTACAAAAAATGCACGCGAATTTTCCGTTTTTTAATGAAAAAACTTAAAAACAAAAAGTTTCTGCAACGGTTGCGGTTTGGTTTTGACGAGTTTCATCACATTTTTTTTAACGCTTTTGCGTCGTTTACCTTTCGGCATTGTCGCCGGAATTGTTAAATATTACGTCCGATATAGCACGAACTAGTGGAAATATTTTGTATTCATATCCGGGGGATTTTAACGTCAACACTTGAAGCCTGCATTTTTTTTGGAAATAAAATCACTATTTTAATAAAAGTAGATTAAACTCTGCACGTAGTAGGTTAATTACATTTTTGCTATATACGAGTTTTAATAAAGCAAAATAAGGTAATTAGCCTGAAAAGTTCACGATGGCGTATTTAAAACCGGGACCGCGTATCATCAACCATCTGCACATAACCAATGTATTTTCCTCTCTAACTTTAACTGCGCAACTCATTATTAACTAGTAGGGAAAATTAAATGTGAATATTTATGACGCCGAGTTTGTAATTTAATTTAATATGGTTGAGGAAAATTTAATAATTACTGTACAAATTTTCACATAGGTTTTTAGTATATGATACACATTTTATATTTGAATCAGTAGTATAATAACTCGCATGGAAAATTAAATGCAGATGTTTATGATATGCCGGTTGTACTTTAATTTAATATGATGTTGAGCCAGCCTTACGGAATCTTCCTTTTTTCTTTATTTCAGTTTCCATACATTAAGAATAAGGTAAATTGCCAATATTTGTATTCAAATTTGAACAAATTCAAATAAATGATAAACTATAAGAAAGAGAATTAAATTCTCTATAAAACAAATACTTTTTCAGCAATTGTGCTTCAAAGTCTGTTTTCTCAAAACCTATAGACCTGAAAATATTTTCCCATTCAGGTTTTTGAAAGCGTAATAAGAGCTACGATTCCTGGAAATTTTGTTTCAATATCTCTCACAGATTTCTAGATATTGAAGTTTAGAGATTTTGGAATAAAAATCCAAAGGGGGTAGGTTAGGTAGGTAGGTACTCTTTGAAAAAAAACCTATATTTCATTTTTCATTTGATATTTTTAATATTTTCCGAGTTTTGTCTTTCCGAATCGATAGAGCGGGTCTTATTAGTTATTAGTCAATTAACCACACAACATGTGTAACTTTTATCAAGTTCCGGCAAAATACTAACCAAATTTTCTTGTAAGTTATTGTACAGACTTGGCATTATTTATAAATAAAAACCTTAAATTATTTCTTACCTCGAATGGTTCGCCAATCAAAGGTCCAGCTTGGGCCAAATACAAGGTGGAAGCACTGCCAAAAGTAATCTTACCGAGTTTCCTTACCAGCGGCGCGGTTTCGGTTTCGGAGCAATTGAAAAACAACGTGACGTCATTCGGTGTAACTCTAAAAGCAAACTTGGTCCATTTGTGTGTAAATTTCGGCACTGTAAAGTTGGCCAATGTGTTCGATGGTATTTCAGCGTCCGAGTAGTACAGTGACAGGGTTGTTGTTGATCCGTTTTCCGGCGATATTCTTACTCCTGAAACGATCATCAATTTAAAAATTATTGCAAGAAAAACTCTGTGAACTATGAAGCTTTATATTATATAAATAACTGCTTGTTGAGTTTCTCAAATTGCATCAAAAAGTCGAAACAAAATGTTATTTATTTGTGAACGAATAGGTGCTTTCAACTAAGAATTCGGTGGATAATTTTCGTAACATAAACAGCTTCAAAGTTTACTTCTTTAATTAAAAGAATCCGAAAGTCGAGCCGAGTAGCTCCCGATGTCCCATCAGCTCAAAATAAACTTTCGACGGCGTAAACAAAAATAAAACTTTAATGCAACTTCGTTAAGTTATGGGATTTTAGTGCTTTTATTTTGTCTCTAATATGGCCTTGAATAATTTATAAATAATATCGCAGAGAGCGGAGTTTAAAGTTCGCTCGGAATTACAGCCTGGCGAATTCGGGAACATAAAAATTTAATTCGAATGCACTGCTAGCGGGGGAATTAAAAAACGGATATTGGATATGTGAATGTAATGCATTAGAAATAAAGTTTATTCTATAAATGGTTTCAGGTTTGGAGCTTGTTAATTCTCTGACTGTTCATAATATTATCAAGATCTGTAAAAATCTAATAAAATCCAAGTAAGGAGGCGATCCTAATGAATTGATAACAATCAGGAAGCATCCCAGGGTTCCTGAACCTGCAGATTAACCTATAAATTAGGCACCGGAAAGACATTAAAAGGAAATACCCGATTTTGGGCATGCTTTGATGCGGATGCGGCCTTACATAATCAATATTCCTTAGAAATAGCAGGAGAGGAATTTGGGTTAACGTATCGAAATCACGCGAATTCATGGTGGATCAAAAAGTATTTGAACGATCAAGTCGAGAGGACATCTGTTTCACTTTTTGATAATAATGGAATCAGGAGTAGAGTATTAATTTTCAATTTGTGTTGTGATGATGAATGGTAGGTACGTGATACTAAATATATCGGATATAACGTTTTCCTACGTCTTTTGATTTCCTATCTCCATCTACGTCATTAATCCTACAAGTCTTATTCGAGCTTCTTTTTTCTCAGTTCTTTGTCAATGCCATTTATCCAGATTTTCTTTGATCTTCTCTACTCCTTAAGTTACCAGTCCAATTTTCGTTTATTATTACGTAACAAACACAACTCCATACCAGCTGTTATTCTTCAATAATCCACCAGGTCAAAAATAGGACTTTTAGTTCAATTTTAACTTAAAATGGTCAGAAACGAGAGATCACTGCTCCTATTTCTAATTTAAATGCGGTTAAATCAGGATCAAAAATGAGACTTTTAGTTCAATCTCAACTTTAAAATATTCAGAAACCACCTAGTAGAGCAAGTTTCAGGATTTGAACATTTTTCTAGTTCATTTCACTCCATGAACGAGTAAGTCTCATTTGACTCTGAATTGCATGCTTGACGCTTGACGAGGGTAGAAAATGAGACCTGCAAAGTAGAATATTAACTTTAAATTCTCAGAAATCAACGAAGAGTGATCGCATAATATCGGAATCCGTGAATTCGGAATCCGGGCCCAGGTATAGAATTTACCTCCTTTTCTAGTTGAGTTCATCTCAGGAAGGGACAAAAATGTGCTTCATAAACCGAAGATCCAGAAACAGAATTTCCAATTCGTCAACCTTCAAACGTAGCGTTACGAAGCTCAAAAATTATTCTTTTTAACTAGAATAGCACAGCTTTTAGATTGCTCAGAAATAGAGTTTCATACAGAATTCGAAATCTCAAGTTTTATGGTCTTGAGAAGTCAGTGTTGTCTCATGAGCAGAGAATGGATCAATTCAATGTTACTCAGAATCTTGACTTTTCAATGCTAAGAATGGCTAAGAATTCGCTTCAACATGTGATTAAATGTTTCATAGTTTTCCAGTCTTTGGAGTATTTGAAATCTTCTTTCAGAGTCTTCATAATTGAGTTTTTGAGATTGCTGAGTTCGAAATCTCATGCTTTGTGGTTTTGAGAAGTCAACACTCTTGACTTTTGGACTGAGAATGAATCAATTCAATGTTCCTCAGAATCTTGACCCTTCAATGCCAAGAGTCACAACATTTTCTGATTGAATTTTTCATAGTTTTCCAGTCTTTGGAGTATTTGAAATCTTCTATCAGAGTCTTCAGTATTGAGTCTTTTGAAGATTGCTGAAATCGAAATATCAAGCTTTGTGGCCTTGAGAAGTCAGTGTTGACTCTTGAGCTGAGAATGGATCAATTCAATGTTTCTCAGAGTCTTGACTCTTCAATGCTAAGAAGTCGCTTCAAAATTTTCTGATTCAATTTTTCATAGTTTCCCAGTCTTTGGAGTATTAGGAATCTTCTCTCAGAGTCCTCAGTATTTAGTCTATGCACATTGCTGAATTCTAAATCTCATGCTTTGTGGTTTTGAGAAGTCAGTTTTGACTTTTGAGCTGAGAATGGATCAATTCAATGTTACTCAGAATCTTGACTCTTCAATGCTAAGAATGGCTAAGAATCCGCTTCAACATGTTGTAATTAAATGTTTCATAGTTTTCCAGTCTTTGGAGTATTTAAAATCTTCTCTCAGAGTCCTCCTAATTGAGTTTTTTGAGATTGCTGAATTCGAAATCTCATGCTTTGTGGTTTTGAAAAGTCAGGGTTGACTCTTGAACTGAGAATGAATCAATTCAAAGTTCCTCAGAATCTTGACTCCTCAATACTAAGAGTCACTTCAAAACTTTCTGATTAAATTTTTCATAGTTTTCCATTCTTTGGAGTATTAGACCGGTGGCCCAGCGTCAAATCACCCCCCTCATCGGGCACAAAATTTTCATTATGAGTACTCGAAACAATTCATCATACGTAACCAAAAACCGCCCGTCTGCCAGCGATGGGTGGTAGCCCGCTCCTGTGACCGCCCCCCAAATAAGGGAATTTTGATCAAAAACCCCCCTTACGAGTACACAAATAAAAATTTTTGGGCATGTAGAGAATTATATTAGAAACCTAAAAACACGCGGCAGACGCCTTCCAGTGGTAGCCCGTCTTGAGCAGACGCCTTCCAGTGGTAGCTCGTCCAGGGCAGACGACTTTAAAAAAAATATATGACGTAAAACTCCCCTTACGAGTACATTTACAAAATTTTGTAGACTTAAACAGTCAGATTGGTGTGCTAAAAATGCATGGCAAACGCCTTCAAGTGGTAGCCTGTCCAAGACAAAATTACGCTGAAGCATTTCTTATTATGGATAAAGACATTAAATAAAACTACAACATAAGTATTAGGGACAAAAACACAGATTTATATATTATTCAAGAGTACTTAAAGTCTGTTTTTTTTTTAAAGATAATTCCCCAAGTCAAAAATTTAGTAACTATGTTGGCAACACAAGCCTTTTCTACATAAAAAATTTGAAAGCATTGACAATTTTACATTGTATTGCCAACATAATGTCATTTTGACTTTTATCTTCAAAAAAATAACGCACTTTAGCATTAATAATGATAAATAGGAGTTACAGACATGGGTGCCGGCAGCAGGGTGCAAGGGGGTGCACTTGCACCCCCCTGTCAGAAATACATTGAAAACATTATTCTTCATTTTATTATTATTATTATTTTTTTAAGTAAGCTACTGTTTGAATCAAGTTATTGAAGTGAGGCGGCGTTCTGATATTTGGACGACATGTTCTGTGGACAATGGAGAGTGATTTGAAAAACGCCTCACGAAATTTTGGGGCATTCATTCAACTTCTTGAATTAGTAATTTGGACCAATACAACAATCCACGTGCCGCCACTGCCTGTATGCACCCCCCTGAAACTAATCCTGGCGGCGCCCATGGTTACAGATTATATAGGAACACGGTAGAGTAATGACTTTCCCAGACCTGAATTCACTAGAGAGTCATTACGGGGGGAAGTCGATAATTTGTTGGAAAATTCGTGAAAAATTAATGATGCTTTGTAGAGATTTTTTGAAGTTTGAGGATGATAGAGTTAACTCTAAAACACAGCCCAAGAATAGTTTTTTCAGTAAAGTTAGGTGTGGGAGAGTCACTACGTAGGGAAGTCGATAATTTGTTTGAAAATTCTTGAAAAATTAATAATGCTTTTTAGGGATTTTTTGTCATTTCAGAAAGAAAGAAGTGACCTTTAATCACATCCGAGAATACTTTCTCTAGTCAAGTTAGGTCTGGGAAAGTCACTACGGGGACTAAAAAGGTCGATTATCGCATAAGTTTTTCCCCTCTCTAATATTTTTTCTGTTTGCCCATCAGTTGAATGGCCTGATCGATAGTTCATAAACTTCATAAATCTATCCCTCCAAGTTCCTAAAATTCTCTTAGCTTCACGCTTTAAGATCGGTTTTCAGTGTCATGAAATGTGGCTGACCTAACTTTAGGTGCAACCTTGAACTTTTGCCAATCCTGAAAAAATGAACCGATTTGGGATTTTTTTAGTTTGCAGCCCTTTTCTTCTTTCATCGAAGCTAGAATTTTTTTCAGATTTTTCAGAGAAATAAAATAAAAAATTGTGAAGACATTTTTTACAAAATCTCGAAGCGTGTAAACACAGTAAAAAGTGCAGTTTTACAAAGATAATTTTTATTCTTTCTAAACAACAAATTCCTTAAATAGTCCGATCCCCTATTACCTGGACTGGGCGCGTCGCTTGTAGGCTGCAGGTGAGCGTCCAATGAGAAACAAGTTTGTTACAGGCTGGCGTCATATTCTTATTCAGGGCCTAGTTCAGAATGAATCGTTCCTTCTTTCTTTGTAACGTCTAATTCGACAAAGAGCAAAGCAATACTTTACATATTACTTGAACTCACCGCAGTGTCGTTTAAGGTTATGTTAGATCATATTTGACATATTCCTTTGCAATTTCATTGAGCGATGCAGCCGAATGAAACATTTACCAAAATAGAAGTGCAAACGATGTTCAGCCACTTTAAAGCTCTTTTTGCGCGCACATCTCATGTTTTATTACTTTCTAATTTGTATTTATTACAA